GCGGGGCGGCTGGGGAGGAGGCGGCGCCCCGGCGGCGGCGGACGGACCGATCGACGGCCGAGCGAGCGCAGACCGACGGCCGCCGCCCCGAGGGGATTGCCGGCCCGCGACAGCGGCAGCGGACGATGAGCGGCCCCAGGCCCCGCGCGAGCGGGCGCTGCCCGGGGGGCTGACCGCGGCCGGACGGCGCCCCGGCCCCGGGCGGGGAGCCCGCGCGGCGCAGAGGTCAGTGCCGCGGCGTCCGGCCAGTCCGGCCGCGCCCTCCCCGTCCGCGACCTCCCCGGGGCTGCGGCGGCGGCCGAGCCGGGGGCTTTGTTCTGAGCCCGAGACAATGGGGGAGGGGGGGCCGGGCCTGCGGGACGCGGTGAGCGGAGCGCGAGCAGGGGGCAGGGCCTGGGGGTCTTTGTGTGCGTGTGTCACCGAGTCGGGGTGCGTGGCGGCGTGAGGGTGTGCAGGGTGTGCGGGGTGTGGGTGAGGGCGGGGTGTGTGTGTGCTGCTCAGAGTGTGAGCGCATCGCCTGAGTGTGAGTCAGTGCGTGTCCCGCGAGGTTGTGTGTCCGTGAGTGTCTGTCTGGCAGTGTGTGTTTGTGTTGTGTGTGTGTCACTCCACCGGGTGCGCTTAGGGTCCGAAAGAGTGTGTGCCATGGTGAGTAAGTCCCTGTGTGAGTGTGTGTTGTGCTAGGTTCTCTGGGAGCCATGTGTCAGAATGTGGAGGATGGGTGTGTGACAAACTGAGACAGAGACAAAGAAACTGAGAGGGGAGACGCAAAGAGAAACAGAGGCGACATAGGCCAAGCCTGAAGTGGAGGTAGGTCACCCAAACAGAGGTTCACAGTGGGAGCTGATGCCAGAGCCACTGGGAGCTTGTGTCCCGGATACCTAGATCAGAATCCTGTGCAGGGGACAGAGAGAGGTCACTGCAGGCCTGGGTCCCACGTGGAGGGGGTGGGGAAAGGGAGGTCTAGGAGCACAATGAACCCAGTGTGGCATGGGCTGGGCTGGCAGCCACAAGGTCATAGGCCAGAAAAATATTGTCACTTATGTCAACTCTTCAAATATCCACAGGGGACACAATCACAGCCCTACTCAACCCACAGGGGACACAATCCTAGGGAACATACATCCTTAAGAGATATCTTCACAGCTGTCAGACACCGCCAAGAAGCGCTATCAGAACCAACACACACCCACTGTAGACTGTCAAGCCAACACTCACCAACCTAAGATGTTTTCAGGACAACACAAACTCACAGCAGAAATGTTGTAACCAACCAATTCCCATAGGATCTTGTCATGGCCAACACATACCATAAGAGACATTGTTACTGCCAACCCCTCTCCAGAGACACTGTCACAACAATACACATCCATGGGCAATACTGTCACAGCTAGCACATCATGTAGGTTATATATATATATATATATATATATATATATATATATATATATATAGCTACTCATACACAGCAGGTGTGCCATAGGCCGGGCACAAACAAGAGCCTGTGTTGCAGTTGTCCTCACCACACAGCCACTTGTTCAAGCCCTAGTAGTCATTCATGGGAGAGCTGTCCCAGCTAATAAACAAACCTCTTACCTTATAATGTTCACACCACGACCCCTTCTCATCCATAGACCTCCTGAGCTCATGCCCTTGGTCTCTGAACACGGACAGCTAAATCAGTCATCCCCTTACCCTCGATTTTGCCATGGTTCTAAGTGTCCCTCCAAAACACTCACGATTTCTTGATCTCCGTTGCTCCTGTTACCTTTTCCTTTCCTGCAAAGAGCCTCCATAGAACTGTTTGATCTCTAAATTTCTCAACACTTGCATTACTCTCTGCCCAGTCTCCTTTGCCTTTTCGGCTTTCCAGTGTCCTTGCTCCTATTAGGCTCTTTAACCTTGTAATGACCTCTTGACCTTGACTTCTGTTTTTTCCTAATCTGCTCTGTCCTGGCTTTGTGCTCTCTTTCCAGCTCATGTGCCAAGGACCATCCCTTTTCTCCTTGGCTACTCTGTTCCACTGTCCTTGGACATCCCCATCGTGAAAAACCTCAGTGCTTGCTAGAATGATTTCTCAACCCACACCAAGTGACACTTCTATAAAATCTTGCTTCTATGAACTCCCCCACCTGGGCCTTCAATACATACATACAAACACATATACATACATACATACATGATTTTTTTCTATTTCACACTCCTTGCCCTATATCATTCATTGTTTCCAGTAGATTAGAGGCTTTCTAAAGGAAGTAGCATTTAAACATAAACATGGTAGATAACAAGGAGTCAACCAAGCAAAGGAGAGGTGAAGGTGAGATGGAATAGGTGCAGAATATTCCAAGCCAAGGCAGCAAAAACATGAAAGCCCATGTGCAAGGAAGTAGTGTGTGTCTAAGGGACAGAGCAATTGAGTAATTGTGACACAGCATGGAGTGAAGAGAGACAGAGTCCATAGAGAAGGAAGAGGCATAGATTGTGCAGGATCTTGTTGGCCACATGTAGTTCATTTAACCCATGAGTAATGGAGAGTCATCATACCATTTGAAGCTTCAGAGTGATACAACCAGCTTTGTTTTAGAAATACCACTGACAGGCTTGTGGAGACTGGAGGAGGAGCCTGAGCAGGAAGAAGACAGTGGGCTCCTGTAGGAACTCAGGATTGAGCAACGTTTGCCTGAACTGGAGGAGTGGCAGGAGAAAGGGAGAAAGTGAATGTAGGAGCTCTAAACAGTGGGGTCAGCAGGACTCTGTGGCAAAATGGATGTGAGGGTTGGAAGAGAGGGAAGAAAAGCTGAAGAAATTGAGGGCATCCAGTTTCAGTTCCCTCAGTATTCTGCCTCCCTTATTTTACCTGGAGCCTCTTTAATCCTTTTGCCTTTCTTCCCATAATAATTAATAGGTATCCCTTCTATTTAAAGCCAATCCTACACCTGCAGTGAGAATCCCATCCCCTCCCTCCTCCTCCATGGGGACCTCACTTGACTGATGAGTCCATGTCTTTCCCATGTCTCCAGTTTCTCCCTCTCTCCCATTGCCTCTGAGAGCATATCAGGGTCCTCCAGTCTCTCCTACCTCTTTTAACCCTGCAGTACCCCTCTCACTTTACTTCACTGCCACATCTTGTAAAAGATTCATGTGTGTGCAGCTGTTCCCATTTCACTTCCCGTTTTCTCCTGCCCCTCCAGTGTAACTGTTCTCCCTAAGGGAAAGTGATCACTCTCCCACCAGATCTGGGGGATTTTTTAAAAATTCCTCAACTGCTTGATCTCTTGGCATGAGCTGACATTGTTGAGTTTTCTCTTCTCTTTGAATTGTTCTTGCTTTGGCTTGTGAGCCACCATTTTATTCTCTTAACATGTAACGAGCGCCCATGTGTCAGCCACACTGCTTGATGTTGAGGACACAGTGATGGAAGTCACTCTTCCTACCCTGAAGGAGTTGATTCTTCAGTGTGTGTGTAGAGGGGAGGGGTTCGGGGGGAAATAACCAGATGATTATAGTAAAATAGAATTTATGAAGAGCTGCTTCAGCTGTTCTGTCTCAGTCTGCTTTGACAGATCCTTTGCATGACTTCTGAAGTTACTGTTCCTTAAGGTTCTAGCTCAGACCTTCTTATCATCTCTTCTTTTTTTTTTGGTACCGGGGATCAAACTCGGGACCTTGCGCTTGCAAGGCAGGCACCGTAACCACTGAGCTAAATCCCCGGCCCTCTTCTTATCATCTCACTGAATACACATCTTTGGGTGATCCATCTCATTCATTTCTAGGGTTTTAATTGTCATCTACAGGCAGATGATCCCCAAATATATCTCTTCTGAGCTCCAGATCTATATACCTGCTGTATACTTGATCTTAACTGAATACCTCATAGGCCCCCTACTATGGGCAAACCTGAACTCTTTCTTTCTCAAATGACTGTCCTCACTCAGTTCACAAGCTAGGAACCGAGAAGAAATTAACTGTAACCCCCTGCCTTCTTTGCATGTTCCACAATCCGGAAGGTCCTTAGAACCTGTTGACTGCACCTCCTCTCTAACAATCTCTGAAGGTCTACCCCTTTTTATTCATCACACCTGCGATTGCTCTTACCTCACCAGCTTTTCACATGAAAATTTTCAAGAGCCTTATAACTCGTCTTCCTATACTCTAGTCTTCCTTCTTCCAATCTATTCTTCTCAATGCAACACTTTCATAAAGTACAAGCCAGGTCACTGTCATTCTTCAGTATTTATCCACTTCTTTTAATGAAATCACTACTTTTTAATGAGGTTTATGACACCATAATCTGACTCCTCTCAACCTCCCCAGCCATATTACCTGTTTCTCTTTCCCCACCTCCTTCACATTTTGATCTCCACACATACTTTTTTATTTTGGGGTTTCTTTTCTTTTCTTTTGAGACAGGGTCTTGCTTTGTAGTTCAGGGTGGCCCCGAACTCACTGTGTAGCCCAGGCTGGCCTCAAACTCATGGGTGATCCTCCTGCCTCAGCCTCCCAAAAGCTGGGATTACAAGCGTGTGCCACCATGCCCGGCTCCATACGTACTTAATTCCTTGTTCCCAAAAGACATTGAATTCTTTCATGCTCCTGGTCCTTTTGCACATATTTCTCCCTCTGCCTGAAAGGCCCTTTACTCCCTTCTCCTGGCTAATCCCTTCTCATCCTCAGATCCCATCACCAACCCTACCAATCCTGACTCCATCAAGAGTTCCTCTTGTTTCACTGTTGTCATGCCTCTCTCTCTCTCTCTCTCTCTCTCTCTCTCTCTCTCTGTCTCTCACTCTCTCTCTCTCTGTCTCTCACTCTCTCTCTCAAGGTTGAGACCCCCTTCATGTCAAAATTGTACACTTCTTATCTCTGTGTCCCACCCACATGCTTGGCAATGAACAAATGAATGAATACATGAGGCACCTCATAGCACATCCCTTACCCCCATTCACACTTCAGAAGACACCTGTTCTGAGCTAACCATATAACCAAGCCCACTTATCCTATATTGGAGACATTTCCACTCCTCTCCCCAACTTACCCTTTCTCACCAAATCCTGTCATCGCTTTCCGTCCCACCTGCACTTCTCTTTTCCTGGATCTTCTTCCTCACCCTCTCTGCCCATTTCTCTTTCATGTAGTTAGCAAATATTTAAGAAGCACTAGGAGCATTCAGACCCACATCTACTGAGTCAGGTATCTATTGGAGTTCTTGGAAAAAATGGAAGATGACACACTGTGACATCAGCCTACAAGGCACTACAGTGCCTTACCATATCCTCCTACTAGACCCCTTCCCTGGAGCTATCCTAGGCTGCTCCCTCCTGTAATGCCCAACCACTCACTGTGAGCCCAACTCCCAGCATTCTGGCCCCCACTTCTTCCCATCTTAGATTCCCTGATTCTTGTGCCTTCTTCTTCACGCTCTTGCTGGTCAGTGGTAACAGAAGCAAGCCTGGACTCTTTTCTTTCTCATGGTCTGGAACACAGCAAAAGCCCTTCCCAAGAAGTTCTTGCTGTTGGATCCCAGGTTTTTACCAGCTTTCCTGCTACCTGCTTCTTCCTTCAGTTCCAGGGTCCATGTTCCTGGGTAGCCCTTTGAAACCAGTGCATTTTCAACCACTGACTCTTAGAAGGGACTTCCAGTTCCCTATGTCCCCTAGTGTGGGATCCTCCTGTGGATGGTCTGCCTGAAGCCCATAAGCCTGAGTTGGGATACCCCTCTCCGCTCACTTAGCACCCTGGAATATCCTTTTTGTCTCTGTTTCTCTCTTTAATTACTTGATGGAAGAAACTTGTTACTTCTCAGAGCCTAGGACCTCCTCCCATATAGCTGGTGAGAAAAGGAGGAAAGGGAAGAAAGAGGGGAGGGGTAGCTACATCTCAGCCTTCATTTATGACCTAATTGACTTAGCTTCTCTGAGCTTTCTTTTCTTGCGTGAAAATGGGGGTAGCAGGTAGTAGTATCTCTTTAAGAAAGTTATTTTTGGGGCTCTAATTTTACTTTTTTATGTGGTGCTGGAGATTGAACCCAGGGCCTTCCAAGTTTACTGCTAACATCATAGTCCTTACACTGTGCTCTCTTCCCTAAACTTGTTCTTCCTTCTTAATATCTTTGGGTTGCTATATCTCCACCTTTCCTGCCAGCTCCAGCCACATTGGCCTCCTCTGCGACCTGGATTCCAGTTATTAGAGTCTAACTTCAGGACCTGGCCCTTGCTGTCCATCATTGCCACCCACAGCTTCCTCTATACTGCCCATCCCTCCCCACATCTTTTTACTTAATGCAGAGACTTCATCTGTCTTGAGTCCCTGCTCTACCTCTAGTGCCTGATGTGGTGTTTGACACATAATAGGACTTAGTAGGTAGTTGGTGAGGAAATCTATCAATGAATCACTTCACATGCATGCCTTGGGTCTTCCCCCTTCTTTCCTCATATTTTTCTCATTCCTAGGTCTCCAAGCATCCTCCATGTTCCTTCTCTCACTCTCACCACCTGATCTTCTGTGCTGACCTGACCATTTACCTGGAATGACAACTACCTCATTACTGATCTCCTTTAGTCCACCCAGTGTACACTACCAGGTTTATTCTCTTAAAGCAAAACTTTGATCATTCTCCTTCCCTGGTCTATATGACCCTTTGAGCATCCCAAGCCCTCTACCAGTGAAGCAATGTGGTCTTTCAAAACACTGTCTTTGAAGTCCATCAGAACTACATTCCGGATGTCTCTGTGCTTCTTCTAGTGGAGCTCTGTTTCGTGTGTGTAGAATAATGCTTTTCCCACAGTTATTGTATGTGTGTCACACAGCAGCAGCATTTATCCCACCACCTCCATGTGCCACACATTGTGCTAAGTGTTTCCTGAGCATTATTTCATTTAACTCTTATATCAATCATTTTAGATAGGCACTTTAATCCCTGTGTTACAGAAGAGGAAATAAATAATTTGCCCAGAGTAATGCTGTTAAGTAGCCAAGTCAGGGTTTGAACTCTAGTCTGACAGCAGAGCTCATCTTCTTAGCCATTGTCATAATAGCTCATGCTTGCATACTTATAAAGCTTATTGTGTGCCAGACACTGTTCTAGCTGCTGAATAAAATGTACTATTATTATCGTACCTATTTTATAAACAAGGAAATGGAAGCACTGAAAAATTAAGTGGCTTGTCCAACATCTCACCATTAGTAAATGGGAAACTGGGAATCAAATCCATGTGGTTTGGCTCTAGAGTCCGTGTCTTAACCACTCTCCTGTCCTGCCTCACTGTGGCATATTATCTCGCTATGCCAGGAGTGCAGTAAGCATGTACTGATGAATGAATGTATGCTGAATCAATTTGGTCTATGCCTAGCTGTGAGTTGATACATTTTCTCTCATTTCCCACTGTAGGAGCCTTGCATCCTTATCACTCGACTGACACAGTTACCTCCAACATCACCAATGATCTCCTTACTGCTACATTCAGTGGCTGGTTCTCAGCTCCTACCTTACTTGAACTCTCAGCAGCATTGGATACTATCAGTCTCTCCCTCCTCTTTGAAATGTTTCCTCTTTCACTTCTGTGATGCTGCCTCCAGGAATGATAAAGGTCTCCTCAGCTGCCCCTTCTATGGAACCAGTCCCCAGGGCGCTTCTCATTCTACGTATCCTATCTGATAGGCATCTCCATGCCTATGGCTTTGTTTACCTCATGATTCATCCAAATCCATATGTCTAAACTAGGCCTCTCTCCTAAGCTCTGGGCCTACCCATCCAACTGTCCAGCTATGCCTGGAATAGCTCCATGTGGGGATCTCAACAGTCACCCCAAAATGACTTCTACTGTATAATATCTCAATTGCATCCCTGTGATATCCAGGCCAGAGCCCTGGGCAGTGGACTGGAGTCTTTAGTCCTTTAATGACCAAGTCTTGTCCACTTCACTTCCTCATATCTTTCATATCTGTGTTATCTCAGTCCCACCACTGCTAAGTTAGGCTATTACAGATGCTCACACTTGATCTCCTTTCTCCTGTGGGTTCTCATCCTTCTTTAGCCTCCATTGTTCTGCTAGGATGCTTCCCTCAGCTTCCCCATAATTTCTTCTTCTCTATCTGTTCCCTTCTCCCTAATTCTCAGGCAATGTGAAGTACGTGGTTCTGGGATCAAATTAAGGCTGCATTAAGTCAGGAAAATCGTTTGTGAGCCTCAATTTTTTCATTGGAAAATGGAAGCTGGGATTTCTTTCTTACAGAGTTGTTACGATGATTAAATGAGATACTGTCTGAGTTGCCTGGCACAGGGCCCTAACACCATAAAAGCTCGGAAAATAGACCCTTTTCTGCTCACATCTGTCCTCAGCATCTCCTTGAAGTGCCTTCTGGGAATGAATCCTCCAGGACAGATCCAGGTAGTGGCACTGTTCCTGGCCACTGTCTTGTGGGGATGTCTCAGGGATGTCCAAGGACACTAGCTTGTCAGTCTTCTTCTACCACCTTCTGTCCCACTCCCCTTCCTCCAGCTCTGGATGCTGCACACCCCCAACAACCTCTGCAGGCCAGGCTGTTCCTGTCTCCACTCACTCTTTCCTCTGCTGTATATACTCACTCTCCCTCAGTGCTCCTCCCATCAGAATTCTCACCTCTCTTCCTCTTTTGTTTATCCCCACTTCACTCACCAAGACTGCCCTCTTCTTCCTTGCTTCTAGCCCATCTGGCTTTCATAGCCCCCCTCCTCACCCGTGTTGTCTTTCTGCTCCTGCCCCTCTCTGGCCCTGGGACAGGAAATTGAGGGAGGAGGCCCAGGCTGTGCCAGCTCCCCCAGCCCACTTCCCCTTCTGTGCCTCGGACCATTCCTCTACTTCCTCCTAGAGAGCACCCCCTTCCCTTTTATTCCCCCTGCTTCTCCCCGACCAGCCCACCTCTCTTTCCCATGTTCCCCTTGCTCCCCGGTCCTGTACACACACAGGCCAGGGACAGGAGGGGGGCTCTGTTAGCTACGGAGGGGGGGAATTGACATCACATTTCAGGCCCCAATGAACAGTCTTGCACCTCCCCCTCCTAATGAGAACCAGCTGTGGTTCCAGAGGCCCAGATGTGAGGATAGAGGGGGAGAGCAGGATGGAGTCAGAGGACCAAGTAACAGGACTGAGGGCAGAACAAGGGCATGTGGCAAGACCAGACCGGGTGGGGAAGAGGTTTGACAGGGCTGGGCAGGAGGCAGAAGAGAAGACAGGACATGGAGGGAAAGACAAGATGTGTAGGGCAGACCAGCTCTGGGACAGGACGGGACAGCCCTGGAGAGAAAAGAGACAAGAAGGGGAGGGGGAATGAGTCCTAGAAAACAGGCAGTAAGAAACACTGGACAGATGGGAGAGACGGTGCTGAGAAGAAGCTGGAGAGAGGATGAGACAGTCTCAGGAGAGAGTCTGGAGTTCCAGTTTGGAACTGGAAGCCGTGGAGCAGGAAGTGATGAAGCATAGTCCAGACAGAGGCCCCAGGGACCTGGAGGTCACAGCTGCAGCTGCAGAGCTGACCACGAGTGCCCCGGCAGCATGTGTGAGAGCACGCCAGCCTGTGGGTGGGTCTGCAAGTGTGTGCTCGCATGCCTGCCTTGTCAGTCTGCATGCATGTGACAGTGAGCTTGCCTGTGGGGTGTGTGTAGCAGTGTACGTGTATGGAGGGTTGTCTGAGGGTGTGACTGTGCCTCTCTGTGTGAGGTCCATAAGAAAGTGTTTGTGTTTATGTGTCAGTATATGTGTGCATGACTGCGTATGTGTGAGGACTGGGGTCTCTGTGAATGGATATGCCATCTGTGTGTGTGTGTGTGTGAAAATGGGCTTCAGAGTGCACATAAGGAAGGGTGTCTGTGCACTGGATCTTATATGTTTCAGTAAGCCGCTGTGTGTAGGTTAAGTGTGCCTGTCTGCATGTGAGTCTGTGAAAGTCCATCTATGTGTCTGCATGTGTGTACCTGGCAGTGTGAGAGTGTGCCAGGCTGTGCGTGGATCTGAGACCCTGTGAGTGTGTGCTTCTGTGTGTCCACTGTGAGAGTGCACCGGGGGAGTTTGCAATAGATATTTACCCATGTTGGGTAATGAGGAGGGCATGGAGGTCTACACAGTTTGGGAGAAGGGGCTACTTTCACCTAAGACATCTGCCTGGCCCCAAATCCTTCCTCTTCGAAGTTAATCATTCACCTGAGCTTTTATTTTACACATCCCTTGATACAGCCTTCATTCAGAAAATTTATTGAAAATTTATGCTACACATAAAGGTGAGTAAATAAGATACACTCTTGCCCCTTAAACACCTAATTGTCTGAGTAGAGAGACAGTTACAGAGTATAAGTACACTGATCTCACCTTCTCTATCCCTAAACCATGACTGCTTTCTCTCCACTGACTGATTAAATGAATAGGACCAACCCTCAACCCTTGACCCAGTCTCTGGGCTTAGATCCAACCATTTTACAGATTAGGAAAATACTGCTAAGACTGGACTCAAACTTTACCCAAACTCCAAAGCCCTTGCTCTTTTTATTGCCTTACATAGATGGAAGGGATGAGTTAGTGCAAGGGTGGGGGTCAGAAACCTATCTCCTTTTAGGGGACAGGAAGTCTTAGAGCACAGCAAATCTATAAAGATCAAGGACAAATTTCTAATGCCAAAATCTGAGCTGGCATGACTGGATATTTCTCCCTCAGCGATATGAAAGCAAGAGGCTCTGACCATTCATTCAGCATTGGTTGCCTGCTCATGCCCTGCCTCCACTAAGTGCTAGAAGATTGGAGACTAAGACCTGCACAGAAACCTCCTATCCAGTGCAGCGGCAGACACATGAACATAAAAGGGCTGCTGTACAACTTCTTGCCAGTGTGTGTCAAGAGAACAGGAGGGCAATAGAGTATGATAGTCTCTGGATGGAAGATGGGTGAGGAGTATGTCGAAGAAACCACGGAAAATAGCAAATTTAAACTGGATCTTGAAATTCTAATAGGAGATGGCCATGTGGGAAGGATATCTCAGGATGAGAGCACACGAGGCAGACAGAAGTTGGGCAAGAGCATCATAACATTTAATGTTGGAATGCAAGGTGTGCTGGAAGAAAGAGAAATTGGCAGAGCTCAGATTGCAAAGACTCATTAAGCAGATTAGGCTTTGTGTTGTAGGTCAGAAGCTCTATACCTAGTGTCCATGAACCTCTTGAAACTGCAGGCACAAGTTTGTGTGTGTGTGTGTGTGTGTGTGTGTGTCTACACTTCTTTTTAGTTTTCTGCTGTCAGTAATGCAGAACCAGCGGGACCCTTCTCCAGGAGTGGCTTTGTGAGAGTTTTGTGCATCTCTCTTATCAGTGGAGATGGAGCAGAGGGTCAAAGCCAAGAGGCAGGAGTACCAGTAAGGAGCTATTACACGAAAAGAAAGAAGAGATTATAGTGTTTGGTCTGGATTGTGGAGCGGACAGGGAAGAATTAAGACATGTGTAGTCGAAATAGTCAGGTTTTGAAGACAAAGTAGAATTTGGAATTGAAGAAAAGCAAGAAAACCAAAGAATATCAATAGTTCTGAGTTGAACATCTGGATGGATAGTGATATGCACAGGAAAGGGAATAGAGGAGAAAAATCAGTTTGAAGTGAAAACTGGGGATATGTTGTGAAGTCCAGTATTTCTCTAGAGTTTCCAGAGCTGGAGCTGGAGATTGGAAAGCCATTGGCAAATAGATGCTACATTAAAAATGATTGATACATTTGAATCAAAGGCATAGGAGTGGACAGGGTTACCCAAGCAGAGTGTGGAGAGTGGGAAAAGATGTGATCCAGGGCAGAGTGTGGAAGAGCACTAATTGTGAAGGGGTGGGCAGAGGGAGAAGAGCTTATGAGGGAGAATGAGGAGAAGGTTCGGAAGCATGTAGAAGCAAGAGGTGATGGAGGTCACAGTGTGAAGCAAGAGGAGTTGGCTTTAAGGAGTCAGTGATCAGTGATTAGTACTGCAGAATGATCCATCAAGAAGAAGACTTTAGGGCCAGGGATTTAGCTTAGTGGTTCTGTGGCGCCTGCCTCGAAAGCACAAGGTCCTGAGTTTGATTCCCAGTACCCCCCCCAAAAAAGTGCCCACTGGATGTAGACCATGGAAATGGTTGGAAACTAGTGGGAGCAAATCATGAGAGGAAGCCTCACCATGTCGAGGGAGGAAGGTGTGAGAAGTGAGATAATGGAGGCAATGAAACAACCCTTTACACAGGCAGAGGGGGTGGTAGCTCCTGAATGTTCTTCTGCCCTCCTGCAGTTGCCTCTCTTCAGTCTCTGCTTCCACCTCTCAACTGATTCTGTGCTTAGGTACCAAAGGTTTCTGTAGGGCTTTAGGGTTCCTCCTTCTTGAGCTTTAACAGTTCCCCTTAGAGACAGAGGCACCACCCCTATCTTGCTCCACCCGCCCTTCCTCCCCAGCTCTGGACACTGTCCAGCTGGTATTTCAGGCCAGTAATTTGCCCATCATCCTTAACTTCTCCCTCTTTTCCCTCTTCTTCATTTTCTGCCTTCAAGAAGTCACAAAGCCCTGCATATTCAATCTCCTAAGCCCCCACAGACCTATCCTCTTCTTGCTAGCTTCATTACTAAAACTCATCCAAGTCAGCATCAAAGTGGAGTCATCCCCTGGACTCCCACAAGAACCTCCTCACCGTGCTATCTGCATGCCCTTGTTTTCCAAACAGTGATAGCAATCTTCAGAAAATGTAAGTCATGTCATGGCACTTCTTGAAATGCTTTGCACTTAAGATAACGTCAGAATCTTCAGTATGTTTATGAAGCCCTTCCTTTTTTTATACTCAGCCCCTAGCACTATACTCACATGCATTGCCTTCCAGCCTACCCCTAGATGCTCTCAGCCCTTCCAAATTCTGTTCATTCTTCTAGAATGTTCATCTCTCCTTCCTGTATGCCCCTTCTCTGTCTGTCACCACCTCACTAACACTTACCAATTATTTAGCCCTTGACTTTTGAATATCACTTCTTATTATAGCTTAGATCTAAAATGTCCTCTAGAGTTCTCATGGGTGTGGGAGGTGATTAGACCATGGGGGCCCTCTACTCATCAGTGGATTATCCATAGCTAAATGTACTGTTAGGAAGTGGGGCCTGGTGGGAAGAGGCAGTTCACTGTGAGTGTGTCATGGAAGGGTGCTTCTCCCTCCCTGGCTCCTCCCTTTGCTCTCTGCTGCCTGGCTGCCATGATGTGAGGAGCTTTCCTCTGCCCAGACCATTCTACCATGCCACTTCACCCTTGGAGCCAGCTGACCATGGACCGAAGATATGAGCCAAAATACACCTCTCCTTCTTTAAGTTGTGGGTGCTGGATATTTTGTCACAGTGACAAGAAAATAACTAAGGCATTTCCTCAGAAAAGTCCTCTCTGACTCTTGTTCTGTGTTAAGCCCCTTATATGTTCTCCTGCTTCCTGTACTTCTCCTTCACAGCCCTTCTGCTACTTGTAACTACTTGTCCAATTTCTGCCCTATAAGCTCCATGAAGCCAGGAGCTGTTTCCTTTAATCACTATTGTACCCCTTGTGTTTCTGTATAGTAGGTGCTCAATCTCTTATTGAATGAAGAGAGAAGCAGTGGGATCTATCCAAAGAAAAAGGAGAGAGAGAGAGAGACTCGAGCATATTTAATTACTGGTAGAAGGCTCTAGCAGAGGGGAAAAGGTTGACATTTCAGGCAAGTACATGGCTATTGAGGCTGGATGGGATATCGATTCTGGATAGGAAGAAAATAAGAAAGGATTGGCCCTATATTTAAGTTTAAAAATAGAAAGAATGGAGTTTGTGAACATTCAGACCTGAAATATAGGAAGCAGAACAATCTGCTGAGAGTGTGTCAGGATAGGATGGGGACTTCCCCAGGGAAAGACTGGAGGGAACCATGAGGAATTAGAAGCATAGGTTCCTAGGGCTGGAGATGTGTATGCAACAGCCTGAGGGTGCTGCTGGGAGCTAAATGTGTCTGAGTTTTGGTATGGTCTATGTCTCAGGCTGTCCAGATGATCCCTCCCCTGTAATGACCTTTTTCCTTATGCATTTCTCCTAGGTCAGGGAGCCTAAGTTGCAGTGAGGGCCCAAACTGGACCCCATCCAAAGCCTGATATCAGACTAGGCCCAGAATCTGGCCTGGGGCTGGAGATCCAGCCCCAGCTGGACTGTCTCTGCCATGCAGAAGGAGCTGGGCATTGTGCCCTCTTGCCCTGGCATGAAGAGCCCCAGACCCTTCCTCCTGCTACCGCTGCTGCTGCTGCTGGAGGTTGGGGTGCCAGGTGCCTGGGGTCAGGCTGGCAGCCTAGACCTGCAGATTGATGAGGAGCAACCAGCAGGCACACTCATTGGAGACATCAGTGCAGGGCTTCCAGCAGGCACAGCAGCTCCGCCCATGTACTTCATCTCAGCCCAGGAAGGCAGCGGTGTGGGCACAGATCTGGCTATCGATGAACACAGTGGGGTCGTTCGTACAGCTCGTGTCTTGGACCGTGAGCGGCGGGACCGCTACCGCTTCACCGCAGTCACTCCTGATGGTGCCACTGTGGAAGTTACAGTGCGAGTGGCTGACATCAATGACCATGCTCCAGCCTTCCCTCAAGTTCGAGGTGCTCTGCAGATACCCGAGCATACAGCTCTTGGCACCCGATACCCACTGGAACCTGCCCGTGATGCAGATGCTGGACGCTTAGGAACCCAGGGCTATGCACTATCTGGTGATGGAGCTGGAGAGACCTTCCGACTGGAAACCCGCCCCGGCTCAGATGGGGCTCCAGTGCCTGAGCTGGTAATTGCTGGGGAGCTGGACCGGGAGAACCGCTCCCACTACATGTTGCAGCTAGAGGCCTACGATGGTGGTTTGCCTCCTCGGAAGGCCCAGGCCCTGCTAGATGTGACGCTACTGGACATCAATGACCATGCCCCAGCTTTCAATCAGAGTCGCTACCATGCTGTGGTATCTGAGACCCTGGCCCCTGGCAGCCCTGTCTTGCAGGTGTTTGCTTCTGATGCTGATGCTGGTGCCAATGGGGCTGTAACTTACGAGATCAATCGAAGGCAGAGCGAGGGTGATGGACCCTTTACCATTGACCCACGCACAGGGCTGCTGAGGCTGGAGCGGCCCCTGGACTTTGAACAACGACGGGTCCATGAACTAGTAGTACAGGCAAGGGATGGTGGGGCTCACCCAGAGCTGGGCTCGGCCTTTGTGACTGTACACGTGCGAGATGCCAATGACAATCAGCCTTCCATGACTGTCATCTTCCTGAGTGCAGATGGCACCCCCCGAGTGTCTGAGGCTGCCCCACCTGGACAGCTTGTTGCTCGTATCTCTGTGTCAGACCCAGATGATGGTGACTTTGCTCATGTCAATGTGTCTCTGGAGGGTGGAGAGGGCCATTTTGCCCTAAGCACCCAAGACAGCATCATCTACCTGGTGTGTGTGGCTCGGCAGCTGGACCGGGAGGAGAGGGATGCCTATAATTTGCGAGTTACAGCCACAGACTCAGGCTCACCCCCACTGCGGGCTGAAGCTGCCTTTGTGCTGCACATTACTGATGTCAATGACAATGCACCTACCTTTGACCGCCAGCTCTACCGGCCTGAGCCACTGCCTGAGGTTGCATTGCCTGGCAGCTTCGTGGTTCGAGTGACTGCCCGGGATCCTGACCAAGGCACCAATGGTCAGGTTACCTACAGCCTGGCCCCTGGCACTCACACTCACTGGTTTTCCATCGATCCCACCTCAGGCATCATCACCACTGCTGCCTCACTGGACTATGAGTTGGAACCTCGGCCACAGTTGATTGTGGTGGCCACAGATGGGGGCCTGCCGCCTCTAGCCTCCTCTGCCACAGTTAGTGTGGCTCTACAGGATGTGAATGATAATGAGCCCCAGTTTCAAAGGACCTTCTACAATGCCTCACTACCTGAGGGTACTCAGCCTGGATCCTGTTTCCTGCAGGTGAGTAGGCCCTGCACACAGTGCTGTGGGGAGGGGTGGGTCTGAGAGTCATAGGGGACCTCAGAACCGGATCCAAGCCTTGAAGCTGCATCTGTTGATGCTGACTTACACCAGAGGGTTTGATCCTATCCTGTGATCTTCAAAGTCTGTGCAGAAGGTCATCAGTAACAAGATGAGAAAGTAGGGTGCAAGAACTGAGGCCAGTAATCTTGGCAGTTGAGGAGATTAAGATTACATTAGAGGGAAAATGGAATGAATGAAAGTCTGTTAAGTCTCAGAGATACAGATTCTGCACATCCACATGGCTCCTGTCCCCCAAGGGAGATGCCAGCATTTATGGAGCCCTCCATGCTGAATTCAGTGCTGGGTATACTGGAAAAACATCTCTGACCTTGCCTTTGAAGTTAAGATTTGATGAGACACTGGGGCTCAGGTATGAGCATGAGAGAGAAGAACTATCCAGTGAGATCCTGATGTGCAGAGGTAGGCCTCTTAGGAGAAGATCCAAGAGTCCTTGACAGACTGAGGGAAGCGCAGACTAGCTTCTAGTCAGGTCTGAAAGACATGGAGGGAACATGAACCCGGAGGGGCAGTCTGAGATCACATTGTTAAAATCTTCAGACATAATGTGGTGAAGGGTTGGGATTTTATTTGGAAAGCAAAGGAGGTTGCCAAAACGTCTTTGACCTGGGAAGGGGATGATCAGATTGATTGTTAAGGTAGATAACCAGGTTTTAGGGTGAAGGACAGATTGGATCAGTAGATAAGTGACAACTCATTCCCTGGCATTGTGCTGTGCCCAGAGGACAAAGGAGACATTCCTGTTCCCAGGCAGGTTCTAGTCTAAATAGGAAGATAATGCTGGCAGCCAGTGCTATGGCATATGGTAGGCCTACAGAAAGACCTGCTGAGTAAACACCATGATGTGTTCTGGAGACTTGTTCAGGTTAGCCTCAACTGTATTGATAAGTAAGAGTTGGGGTGGGGGGGAAGAAAACACAATAGTAGACGGGCCAGGCCAAAAGTTTGACTTTATCTTTAAAATCATAAGCTAATGAGGAGCTCTAAGCAAATCAAATATGTCTTTTGGAAGGATCACTTTGGCTGCAACATGGAGTGTAGCTATTGGAGAGAAGACTGAATCAGGGAGGGCTCTTAGGAGACTGGTGCTTGAAGTCCACTGGACCGCTGAGTTTCTCCTCAGGGCTGCTTATTGACCTAGCCTTCCAGACTAGAGCCTGGCTGATCCCTTGTCTTAATGGCCAGACTGGATATTTGCCTGCCTGCTGCTGTCTGGCTCCCACCACCCACTCTCCCCTGTGTTCATTCACCCTCTTGGCCAGGACCAATAGATTATTGCTTCCAAACTTCTTTCCTCTTCACTAGTTCCTGAAGCAAAGGGGCAACTCTCCAGGTAATTTCCTGGAGTTTTAAAATTAGTAACCATGAAGAAGGTTAACATGACCATTGAGGGTTCATAACTTTCACAAGGTCTTAATGTTTGATTTATTCAACAGATATTTATTGAGTCTCTACGATGTGCCAGTCTGTTTGGGATACAGAACAGAATAATGAACAGGAGTCAACTCCTATCCTCCTTCTCATGTAGTTTATAGTCTAGAAGGGATTCATTTGCAAAGGAACAGTGTATTGCAACAAGGAAGCTTTCACAACAAGGATATAGGCAGTATGAATGTTTCTTAGAGGAAGGGACCCTGCAGTTGAGGCATGAAGAATAAGCAGGTGCTTATGAGGGAGCTAGACAGGGGAAAAGTTCTGAGCTGGGTGACATGCACAGAGAAGTGGGAAAGCCTTTTTCAGGGACAGTCAGTATCTGAAGTTTAGGTTGTGAGATGGGAGAGTATGAGATGAGAATGTGCAGGTAGGTCAGACAGTGAGGAGCCAACCTCTTTTCTATAAGGAATACTGAAGTTTTTGAGGAGTAAAATGGTCAGATGTGTTTTCTCAAATGGTAGTTAGTGTAATCAGTGGTTCACACTGAGGACAATTTGGCTACCTAGAAGAGACATTTGACAATGTCTAGAGATATTTTGATTGTCACAACTATTGGGATGCTACTGGCATCAGGTGGGTAAAGGCCATGGATGCTGTTAATGATTGTATAAGGCATATAACAGCCCACACAATAAAAATCGTGTGGTTCAAAATGTCAGCAGTATCTGGGTATGGTGGTGCATGGTTATAATCTCAGCACTTTGGGAAGCTAAGGATTGCAAGTTTGAGCTCAGCCTGGGAACTTAGCAAATCAGCAAGACCTTGCCTCAAAACAAAGTAACAACAAAACAACAAAAAAAATTTTTTTAAAGGGCTGGGGATGTAGCTTAGTGAAAAGGCCCTGGGTTCACTCTCCAATACCACCCAGGCACACACATCAAAAGAGAGGTGGGGGAGAGAAGAAAGGAAGGGAGGGAGAGAGATGGAAGGAAGGAAGGAAGGAAGGAAGGAAGGAAAAGAAAGAGAAAGGAAGGAAGGAAGAAAGAAAGAAAGAAAGGGAGAAGGAAAGGGAGCAGGAAAGAGAGAGGAAGGAAGGAAGAGAAAAGAAAGAAGAGGAGGCACAGAGAGAGAGAGAGAGAGACCAAAAATCAGTAGTATCAATATTAAGAAACCCTGGGATATTTCAGATGCCCATTTTCGGATTGGGTCTTTAAATTTGGGAGGTCTGATCTTTTTAAGTTCTTTATAGATTCGAGATAGTAGACCTTTGTCTGAGGAAGAGCAGGTGAAGATTTTT